GGCTCCTAGATGCGCTAGAAATGTTATTTTTGAATAGGATTGAAGGAAATCTTGTCTATTTTACGAATATCAACAGATACATAAAGAGCAAGCAGGGGAATTTTTCAAAAAAAAAAAGTTTTAAAAATGAAGAAAAAAAGTAGGAAATCTATATATTCTCCTAGTCATATATAAAACCATTTCCACACCTCCTTTCCCTCCCCAAGACCATATACAATTCTCATTGTTCAGAAAAACAAGTTTTTTAGATTCTCGAGACGCCTTTTCTTCTCTATGGCAAATGCTGTCTGTATTAGGCATTCAAAAAGAAGAAATAGTAGGAGAAATCGAGAGAGTAGGTTAGAGAAAAAACCGTTCCACTTCTTTTTTCGACGAATTGGGAGAAGAAGCATAAACGAAGGTAATTGAGGAGAGAACGATGGCAATGAGGAGATTTTTCTAAATAAACAGATTTTGAAAATGTCAAGGACTTTAAAAAGAAGCTTGGAACTCCAAAAAAAAGGAAAAAAAGCTCCAAGCCTCCCTACCCCCATAACTTTCTTTAAAATCAATATTTTTGGACCAAAATAAATGAATTTGATAAAAAAACTCAAGAGCTACAAGTTAATGCTATCTGAAAAACTGTATCTTGTCTATGAACAAAGTTATAGCGCTTAAGCGTAAGCTTAACCTTTACTCTCAATCCTAAGCTTATGCGTTGACCTTCAGCTAGATATTGGACCCATAACTTTCTTCAAAATGTATATTTTTTAATAAAATAAATTGGATATGATAGAAAAACTCAAAAGCTATTAGATAATATTATTTAAAAAACTGTATCTTTTTTATGAGCAAAGTTACAGAGCTTAAGAGTCAACCTAACATTAAGCGTTGACACTAAGCTTAAGCCTAGCCCTGTCTTAATTCCTTTCAAAATGAATATTTTTGAATCAATTAAAACAAATATGATAGAATTTAAAGAGCACTACAAAACGATACTAGTTGTCTTACGGTATCTTGTCTATGAACAAAGTTGTAGAGCTTAAGCCTAAGCTTAACCTTCCTAAGCCTACGCTTTAGCCTTCAGCTAGCTATTGGGCCCAGAACTTTCTTCAAAATCTATATTTTTAAATAAAATTAATTTTATATGATAGAAAAACTCAAAATCTATTAGATAATACTATTTAAAAAACTGTATCTTTTTTATGAGCAAAGTTACAGAGCTTGAGAGTCAACCTAACATTAAGCGATGACACTAAGCTTAAGCCTAGCTATTGGACCCATAACTTTCTTCAGAATCATTAGTTTTGAGCCAAACAAACTTAATATATTGTAGTAGAATTTAAGAGCTACAAGATAATACTATTTAAAAAACTGTAACTTGCTCATGAATGAAGTTACAGAGCTTAAGCCAAACGTAAGCCTAACCTTTGACCTCAAAACAGTTGTTTGACCCATAACTTTGTTCGTAGATTAGGTACAGTATACCAATTAGTACCATTTTGTAGTGCTTTTCAAGTTCTATGACGTCTTTTTTTTCAATTCAAAAATACTATTTTGAAAAAAGTTATGGTCAAAACTTCAGGACAAGAGCACCTATACAGGTAAAACCTCGAAAAAAAACGGGTCAAAAAAGAATGTTGTTGTACAGATCTTCTCATAGAAGCTATTTTATTCAACACAGAGTGAGAATGTATGAGGAGAGGGGGTGATATACATCCACCCCACTTTTTTTTCTCCTTGTTCTCTTCTATTCCGAAAAAATAACCGGTTTCTATCCTGAAGCAGAAGAATAGTGTCTCTAATTTCCCGTTGTCTAGGGATATGAATGACATAGAAACACTTTGAGCTCAATTTACTCGATTCCTGTGAAAGATATCAAAAATCTGTCAACTGATAAAATGTTAAGGAGTTTATGATAAAAATTGTATTAGTTGGCCACTTTTTGATATCTTTCACAGAAATCGAGATAATAGAGCATAAAGTAGAATTATGTCAAGCTCGAATGTTGACCTTATATGGCTAATCTAGTTGAACCAGGCAAATTGAAACTCCCCAAATTTTATATTCTCAGAAAGCTGAAAATCTGAAAATTCCAAAAATCGAATTTTCTCTTTTGAAGAACAATTTTAAGGCAAGATATGAGCATTCTAAGAAATTGAACGTTGGCTCATTTCGCTGCGATTCAAAATAAGGTCCTCAGCTTTAAGATAACCAGTCGGTTAACGCCCCTTGGGGGCTAAACCTCCTGGCTTCCGGTTGCCCACCACCCTTTACTGAGGTGAAATCAAGGAACGTCTTCAGAAGACTTCAAAATCAAAATTTCGAAAAACCAAAAGTTCGGGCATCAACTAAGACACAATTCTGATCGATCTGTCCAGGTTTCAGCTTGATCAGTTAACTTTGAATGAGTGATAAGGTGCGCTACATACATCCGGACATACAGAATCTGGTGAATGTTATTAGTAATGATAATGATATTTCTAACTTTTTGGAAATTCTGAATTCCCTGGAACACATTTGGGGAGTTTACGAGATTCTAATTTATTGAATTTCTCTCATAAATCATCAAGATTTGCAAATTTTGACCCCCATAACATCTTTTTTTACTCTAATTATCCATACAAAATGTCGCAAATCTCTATGTTTTTGCTGTCCTCCGATTGACAGTTTACGTCCGTTTTAAATTGGTGTCTGTCTGTCTCTTTTTGAATGTAAAACATGTGTGTAGCTAGAGGGGATTATCGGAACATTTCCTTTTTCTTTTTTATGCCGTTTTTCGGGAAAATCGAAAAAAGAGAAAACGGAATAAAGATATTTGAAGCCTACGATAGACTATGTCACACCTACGATAGACTACGGCTTTTGACCAATGGATTTGACGAAAAACGGTGTTTTGAACATTTTATCAAATTTAAGAGGAGCACAAAGTTTATTATTTTTTTTCTCGAAAATTTAATAATTAATTTTTTTTTATAATTAAAAAATCTTGAAATTTTGATTTTTTTTTAAAATTTTTTTTTATTTTTAAAAATTTATTTATACACAGAAATAGCACAAAAATTATGGCAGTTTATAGATTTTTTCAGCAAAAAGAGATTAAAATTTAAGAAATAACCCGTAAAAATACAAAAAAAGGAACATTGGGAAAAATTATGGCAACAAAAAAATTTTTTAAGAAAATATCCCGCAAACACTCTAATAGAACGCCACCCGGACCGTCCATTTTGAGCCTACATATCTCATTTTCGAGAGATATCAAAGTTTTGTAAACAGATAAAATGTAGCTGATATCATGATAAACATTTTATCAGTTGATAACTTTTTGATATCTTTCAAAAGAAGTGAGATATATAGGCTCAAAGTAAACGGCTTCAGGAGTGGCATTCTGTTGGAGTGCCCCTATACTGTTAACTTTGAGCCTATATATCTCACTTCTTTGGAAAGATATCAAAAAGTTTTCAACTAATAAAATATTTATCATGATATCAGCTACATTTTATCAGTTGATTACTTTTTGATATCTCTCACAGAAAATGAGATACATGGGCTCATATTTGACGATTCGGGAGGCGTTCTATAGAGTGTTTACGGTATTTTTTGGGGGATTTTTAACCGGTATTGGGAATTGAAATTGTACAAAAAAAGTGTGGTTTTAGGGGTAAAATAGGATGAAAATTCAAGTTTTTCAGACAAAATTAGTCTAGAAAGTTGGGAAAATGATAAAATATGTTTATTTTGAAATTTTGAAATTTTTCGAAAAAGCACTTTAAGAGATTTAAGGGGAATTTGGGTCCTTAGAGTGTTTTCTGGCTGAAATCAAGCTCAAAAATCGATTTTTACAACTCAAAAAATCTATAAAACCATGAAATAATCATGAAAATCGGGGTTCTTAGAAATTCGAAAAAATTCAAAAAAAAACTCTGAAATTTCAAAATTTCAGAAACTTCAAATTTGAGCATTTTTAAGGGAATATTGAGAGAAATACAACTCAGAAATCGATTTTTTAGCTTAAAATACCCTTAAAACCATTAAAAAACCAGAAATCGTGAATTTTGAAAAAATTCCAAAAATTCCAAAAAAAAGTTTTTTCAGAAATTTTCAGAATTTCTGAAAAACAGAGATTCCCCACTTCAAAATGATTCTAGAGCAAAATTAAGCTTAAAAGTCAAAATTTCAGCTCAAAATACACCTAAAACTAACGGATAATTATGAAAATCGAGTTTTTTGAAAAATTTAAAAAATTCAAAAAATATATTTTTTTCAGAAATTTTCAGTATTCAAAAAATATGGAATTTTCTCGTTTGAAAGTTGTTCTAGAGCAAAATAAAGCTCAGAAATCGATTTTTCAGTTCAAAGAACTCCTAAAACTATCGGATAATCATGAAAATCGAGTTTTTTTTTGAAAAATCGAAAAAAACTCGAAAAATTCAGTTTTTTTTTCAGAATTTCAGAAAATAGGGATTTCACCATTTCAGAAGGGTTCTAGAGTGAAATGAACTCTGAAAATCGAATTTTCAGCTCAAAATACCCCTAAAACAACCGGATATTCATGAAAATCGGAACTTTTTAAAGATTCAAAAAATTCAAGAAAAAATTTCAGCATTTTTACAGATAATCCCGTTTCGCCGCCACAATCTCTACAGTGCCCTTTGGTGGGCGGGGCAAACTATCGAAAACCAGAGAATCTCTCATCAGTTGCTCAACGGCCAACGCTTTGCCGATTTCTGGGTCGATTCTGAAAATTTTTTGAATTTTTCAAAAGAAATTTTTTTTTGAAATTTTTTAAATTATAAAAAAACCCAAAACTCACTTTCTGAGCGATAAATCTGCTCTGGGGGAGTACTGTAGCGCTTGCTGACGGGCTCGACGACGTTCTTCGATTTTTCTGAAATTTAAAAAAGTTTAGAAAAAAAATTTTTTTTTTGAAAAATCAACACTTTATTGATAATTAGGACTTAATTAAGTGTTTAATTGACCAATTAATTAATTAATTACCTAGCAGAATGATCATCGACACAGTCGAAGGCGTCATTAGTGCATGAGGGCTCCTCGACTCGGGATACTGTAGGTAGAATTGGTGGTTGAGAAGAGCTGAAAATTAGTTAATTAGGGTAATTAACAGCTAATAGATAGAAAAATTTTTGAAAAAAAATTTTTTTGAAAATTGAAAAATTACCGTTTCCTGCACTTGAAAATCCAAATTAGACAAAAAACGACTACTAAAAATGCGGCAGCGATGAGCAATAGGATTACGGCCAGTTCTGTGGTTACTGTCTCGAAATATCCCATTTTTAGGAAAATCTGAAATTTTGGAATTTTTGAAAAAAAAATCGAAATTTTGAGAGAGAAGAAATGAGAAAAATGAATATACCGTAAACACTCTAATAGAACACCACCCAAACTGTCAACTTTGAGCCTATATATCTCACTTCTTTCGAAAGATATCAAAAAGTTGTCAACTGATAAAATGTTTATCATTATATCAGCAACATTTGATTAGTTGACCACTTTTTGATATCTTTTACAGGAGCCGAAGTATATGGGCTCAAAGTTAGGGGTCCCACGTTAATCGACAAGGGCGCCTCCCCCTTCCCCAGAGAGACGCAAGAGGTGCCTTCCTAACTTCAAGCTCATTCATCTCGGTTACTGTAACAGATATCAAAAAGTGTTCAATTGATAAAATGTTTATCATGATATCAGCAATATTTCATCAGTTGACCACTTTTTGATATCTCTCACAGAAAATGAGATACATGGGCACAAAGTTTATGTCTTGGGTGGCATTCTATTAGAGTGTTTACGGTAAGTATAAGAAGAGCGTTTTGAAAAATTTTAGAAACAAAATTCTGAGATTTTTCTAGGAAATCTGGAAATTTAAAAGAAAGTTTCGAAATTTTTTGAAGAGCTCGGAAAAGAAAGTGGGCGGAGCCAAGAAATAAACTAATCGGATTAAAAAATTATTTGAAAAAGGGGCGGAGCTTAATTGGACCAAAAAAAAAGGACAATTCTAGACATATTGACAGGAAGATGGCAAAATAATGGAATTTTTCTTAATTTTTTGCGATTTTTAGCGTTGAGAATTTTGAAACGGAGAGCCCTTCTATTAGAGGGGGCTCTTCTATTAATACCCGGGTTTTTTCCACTGAAAAAGTACGGAAATTTTCTGACTTCAAAACACATTTTGAAGGGGGGGCCCTTCTGTTAGAGGAGCCCTTCTAATACAGGTTTTACGGCAACCTATTTTTCAAATGAAAAATTTTAGAACTTGTTCTAGAAAGTTCTCGAAAAACTTTTTTTTTTTCCAAAGATAAGGAAAAATAATAGAAGTGTGAAGAAATATAAGCGGATTACGGTTTTTTAGAATTATTGACATGTTCAGAACAGGAGTGAATATAACTAGAAAATAGAAAAAAATTGGAAAAAATTCAAAAAATCCTAAAAATATGTATTTTTCGAAATTTCGATTTCTTCAAAATCCCCAATTTCCAGACTTTCTAGGATGTTTCAAAGCTTAAAATTCAATTTTTCAGCTTATTTTTATTTAAAAAAAGAGTTTAGAAGGTCCTTTTTGAAAGTTTTAGAAAGGGAAGAAGATGGGAGAGTGGGGGTCAATAGAAAAGGGAAAAAAAGGGTCCAAGGGGGAAAAATGACCAGTTTCCGGTGGGAAAAATGGGAAAAAGCAGTTCAAGACACTAGATTTTTAGATTTAAAATAGCTCAAAATTGGTCCAAAACTAACGAAAAACGATTTTTCATTCTAAAACCTCTATTTTCACCTTTTTACCCACACTTTCAGAGCTTTTAACCCCGATTTTCGAATTGCCCGCCCTCGAAAACCCCCAAAAAACATTTTTTTAAAAAAATTGCCACCGGTGGGATTCGAACCCGAGACCCCTAGATCCAAATTCCTTCGTCGAAAATCCCACTAGGCCATATGAGCAATTTTTTAAAAAATTGCTAGAAAATTGATGTTTGGGTCAAAAATTAGGTTTTAAAAGGGTTTTAGGCAATCTTTGGCTCCTTTGAGTGATTTTCCAGCTATTTTCGAGGATTTTCATTTTAAAATCCATAAGTTCACTTTTTAGAAAGGCTTAAAAGTTCAATTTTCTTTTCACAAAAAACAATCAATACCTAAAACACCTGATAGAAGACACAAAAAAGCTGAACTAGACGCTGTTAAGTTATACAAATAAACACCTGTCAGCATAATAACATTGAATGTAATATATGTAATTATCTATCCTGCAAACACTAACATTAAATAACACGCAAAGTGGTTTTTTTCCTCCTCTAGAGATTGCTTGGCTGCCATACGGAAATTCCGATTTCCTGGATTACTGTAAGACATATCAAAATGTGGTCAACTAACAAAATGTTTGTCTTAAAATGAGCAATATTTTATTAGTTGACAACTTTTTTATATCTTTAACAGGAAGATTGAGCTCAAAGTTCCAGAATTGAAATTGTTTGTCCCACAGGCGTATTGTCAAGTTTGACACCATTTATCCTGGCTACTGTAAGAGATATCAAAAAGTAGTCAACTAATAACATATTTGTCTTAAAATGAGCAATATTTTATCAGTTGATTACTTTTTGATATCTTTGACAGGAAATGAGATATATACGCTCAAAGTTGACGAGTTTCAAAAGAAGAGGCATTCTAGTACAGTAGTGTTAAAAGTGATGAAAACCTGTTAAAACAGGTCCAAAAGTTTAGTTTTGCCTAATTTTTCAAATTACACACTTATTTAATTAAGATTTATAGTCGCTTTGAGTTATATTCAACCTGCTTCAAGCTCATTTGGCGATTTTCAGGAACTTTTCTTCATTTTGACCCTTTTGACTTGAATTTTAAGCTTTCTAGCTTTGATTTTGGAATCTCCCGCCCTTGAAATCCCCCGAAAAATACTTTAAAAAAGAAGTTGTCACCGGTGGGATTCGAACCCGAGACCCCTAGATCCTCATTCTTTCGTCGAAAATAGGCCATATGAGCAATTTTTTAAA